GTTTTTCTGGTGGCGAAGAAAAGTGATGCTGCGGTAAGGATTCCGGGGACTGGGAAAAGTAAGAGATTATAAATCTTTGATCAAGAAAGGAACAGAATCTAATCTATTTGGAGAACATGACAGACAGAGTTAACACACTACATTTCCTATTCTTACCACCTACCTCTGTGATAAGCAGGGTACATATACCATCCTTAAAGTCATGTGTTTCATCCACTGATATCTCTCTCTCATCTTTGTACCACACAATAAGGGTTTCCTTTTTAATATTTGCCACCTAGAATGAACAGGAAATGGATTGTCATAAACTGAGTGGTCCTCCGTGTGGTAAGCTATCGAAGGAGAAGACAGATTTCTAAAGGAATGGGCTGAAAACTATTAAGAAAAGAATTTAGAATATTGTGGATATGAATGGACTGAATAAATAAAAACCAGTAGCATCTCTATTTGTAATAGTAGGTAAGAAGAAAAGCAATAATAAATATCTACATACTAACATAAGCATTCTGATAAAAGCAATCTGAAAATAAAAGACAAACCCCATCAGATGAAAATATAATATGCATCATAAAAACAAATGGCTTCATCCAAAGAACAGAATAAGTAAGCCTCAATTTTTATCTAAAAATTTAATAAAAGAAAAAGTGAAAAGGGAAAGGAAATATGGTTTAATAAGTTCATTCTTAACAGTTTTGAGGAAATTAATTCAGACCCAGGACTGGCATATTGTAAATGTTGAATGGACCCAAAGACCACGGTGGAGGAATTGGAAATGTTTGACATTTTTGCTGAAGAGAATAGTTTCACGTGTTTCTCATGAATGATAATATTTCATTATAATTAAAGACATACTAAATGTTTCCATCAGTGTTGATTGTGGAACCAAGTGAAACGAAATCATCAGCAATGTCTATCTTTTACCCCTTTAGCATGATGTTGCTTATTGATCTACTTGTGAGGACTTTTGTTTTCTCCTTGTTGAGATATAATCCATACTTGGAAGACTAGAATATTTTATTTTCTTCAGTAAGAACTTCAAGTCCTCTTCATTTTCAGCAAGCAAATAAAGTATTAAAAAACTTTCTTTTAAAAAATGACATGCTAAAAAGTAAAGGCTTCCTATTAAAAAAAATTCCCAAGACTTCACTGTATAATTAGAATACACACACACACACACACACACACACACACACACACACACAATTTCCCAAAGAGGGTATAAAACAAAACAAAAAAAATGAAGAGACGTTTAAGTTCATAAGTTCATTACACATAAAGATACGCAACTTTTAAAGTGTCCCATTTTTCAGCTAGCAAGTTCACAAAAAACCTGGCACTGTGAGTGTGCTGTGCAGGTATGGCCGCAGACATTCGTGATGACCCAGGAACTGCCTCCTTAGAGGACAAAAGTGGCTGAGTTGCTAGGTGATATGCATAGTATATCACCCCTATGGTATAACAGCCCCACTTGGGGAGCTGTGTCTAGCGTGGAAGGGCAAGAGGCGGACCACACAACTTGGGGTCCCCTTGACTCTTGGGCATGCTCCTCGCTTGTTTTTGGAAGTTCTGCCTAGTGAGCAGTTCAATGAAGTGTTGGATCCTGAGATATGAGAACTTTCAAACTACCAAGCTCAAGTTCATTGTTGTTGAGTGGAAACTGACTTGTCACTTACCCACCATTGGTTTCTCTGAGGCTATAAAATGCACAGGAGGAGATTGCCTGTTCTTCCTCCATGGAACAGCTGATGAATTTAAACTCCTTGCCTTTGGATTGACACTAGGCCACCAGAGCTTCCTATTCATACCTAATGTGGATCTTGTTTCCTTGCACTCAAGTTGTCATGTGGCAGACAGATGTGGAGAAAATTCCTCAACATGGACTCCTTCACATCAAGGAAGGCCTCCTCCCAGGTGGGTGGGATCTCTGACCTACAACCCCTAAGACTGGAGCCCAGAGCGTCAGGCAGTCTAGTGAGTGTAAATGTCCATACACACTCAGCTATAACGTGATGCATACAATAATGATTGTAACGTGATGTTACAGTAACGAGACAAAAGTGGGTTCTGGTGTCCTGGTGGGTAAGGAGATGCACTGCAAATCCAAAGGCATGTGGTTTGAATCCACTAGCTGGTCCACAGGAAAAAGATGGCCAGACTCCTGCATGTTTACTGCTTCTGAAAACCTGCCAGAGGGTCAGCTGTGGTTTGGCCTGACTCAACCACATACAACAACGAGACAAAAGTTCTAAAGGGGCAGAGGAAGGCTCATGGTGTTTGCAATGAGAAGAGGATAGCTTTAAGAAGATGATTTCGTTTTGGGCCTTGAGAAAGGATTTTTTCCCCCCCAAAGATGCTGAAAGAACATTGCAAGTGTTCGTAATGAAAAAAGAAAAAATATGCACTGCTGTCAAGTTGGAACCAACTCCTAGCTGACTCTTCATCCTGCTTCTGAGGCTGTAAATTGCGCATCTTTCTCCCTTGGAGCTCCTGATAGATTTGAACTGCCAGAGAAGCACCACCTTTGGGTTACCACTGCAACTTCCTACAGGCTACACCAGCAGAGCACATAACATGCGAGACTCATAATCTATTTGTAATCCACTGTCATCGAGTTGCTTCCCACTCAGGTGACCTTCCATTGAATTTCTGAGACTTAAATCTTCGTGGGAGATTAAGCTTTCTCCCACAGAAGAGCTGGTGGATTTGAACTGCCGACCTTTTGTTTGGCAGCCTAGCATGTACCACACTACACTCCTTTAGTTGTTCAGAATTGGGTGAGGAGTTGATTTCCTGAGGACAAGCATCAAAACAGGACATCAGGGGCATTCCCCAGCAGGCTGCCACATACAGATAAGGCAGATGAAGAGAGGCGGCACGCATGGGCTTCTGGGAAATGAAGAGTTCCAGGGG